CAAGTTCCTCTGTGATGAGCTTAGGCCTGCACTCAGCTTCTCGTCCATCTTTCACGTACAGAGATGACAGGTTGAGGGCAGGACGGGTCAGATTCCTGGTGATCGCTAGAATGAACTGGCCATCTGCTGTACACACTGCAAAGAGAGAAAGAAAAAGTATTCAGTTTCCCCATTGGTTGTTGTGGCCTGCAATCATTGACAGAGAGAGACCAAGATTGAAAGACCAAAAGCTTCAATAGTTATGCTGCTTGGAATCTGGTCTACATTTTGGTAAAAATTTCTAATGGAGATAAAGAATGTTAAGGCAGATCATTAGCCTTTTGGTGTCAGGCCATGTGACCATTTAAGAGAGGCTGGAGAGAGTGTTCTGCAAGACTGAAACATTTGGTGTTCAGTTAACCTCGGAACACCATAACCAAGCCTTTTAAGGGAGGAAGGAGAAGCTTAAAAAGCCACAGGAATTCTAAGACCGAAAGACGAAAGCTACAGCAAACATGCTCAAGAGAATGTAAGTTCATATGTATATTCGGGGCAGGATGTGCTTGAATGTCAGTTGCATGGGCACAAGGTCCACATGCTGTAGCAATGTCTGGAACTGACAATGAACAATGTCAGCCTGTCCATCACAGCTCCTAACCCTGGGGCAGATGCACATGCAGCTTATTGGGGAAATGTTCATCGAGGGGCAAGGAAAGAAAGCAGGAATTGTGGAGGATCACCACAATCCTTGTGTGGGGGAGCAGGGTCACAGGGCTACAGGGCTGAATGGCCAACCATGCAAAAACTGGGATTTGGGAAATGCACCAGTATGCATCAAGAGAAATCTCCAGGAAAGCTGAGCCATAAAGGAATACAAGGAAAGCTGATCCAGCTACAGACCTCCTGTACCCAACCAGGTCACAGCTGTCGTGTGAACATGGCAATGAGCAAGAGCTTCACTTCTCAGATCTATTCAGCCCACCCAAGGGAAGAAACAGGTCTTCAAGCAAGTAACAGATCAATCTAGGAAGTGTACTGCCAACTACGTAATGAGCAAACCTCACATCTAGGTCGTAGCTTGGTTATGGCTGAAATTGCAAGAAAACAGGGGCTAAGCAAACTAAATGCAGAACACTGCCTGGTATCATTGTCACAGGTGCTAGAGAAGTGATGCTCAGAACAGGGCTTGATTAAAACAGACATGAATAAAAGTTGTGTCAAAGAATCATAATGCAGGCTAAAAATATGTTTAATACTAACTCCCTGCTGTCAGGAGTAGAGCTGGAATGTTTCAGTACACCAGCTTGTTCAGCTGCAGTCCCCCATTCCAGTGTTAGTGGCTGTAATGTCAGAGCACGAGAGCGAGAGCATTTGTACCCTACTTCCAACTTCACCCAGAAACAACCAATCCAGTTGCTGTCAAATACAGTTGCAGAGTTTGGGTTCCTGGCAGCATCTACATACAGATGAGATTCATGGAGGTGGTAGCGGAGGGGAATCGGGGCCCAGTACAGGATCTGTCAGCAGCTGCCTTGGTGAGGTGGGCCTGAAACAGACTCATGGTAGTGGCCAGTCTGGGCTGGTGCAGTACCCTGTGGTGTCTGCATTGGTGAGGCCCAGTGAGTGTAATATGGTGCCCATGAACAGTAACAATTGTTGCCATGATGGCACTATGGCAAAGGGGGACTTTAGAGCCTGGTTACCAGGCCTGCAGAATGACTGCAAGGCTTACACCTTTTCTGTCTTTGCATTCTATATCCAGTTTTCCCATCCTCACATGGGGCCAGGGAGTGCCATCACGACTGAAATTCAAAACAGAAGAGAGATACCAATTCTACATGCCAACTTCAACTGCTCAGCAGAGATCACAGTCAACAGTCCTTTACTACAGAGGCCATTCAGCCCAGATGCACATGGAACAATATTCAGCCTGTCTCACTGACCAGCTCCAAATCTGTCTTGCAAGTTCATTTCCTTAAAGGACCATTCCTTGGTCATTAATACTGCAATGGTATAAAAGTAGTCAAAAATCATTTCTTCAGCTTCTTGAAGAAAGTCTGTGCCCCCAGCCCTTGTCCGCTTCAGACAGAGACCTCTCAATGACTGAGACCTAATCAAGTCTCAATCCCTTTTGGAGGGAAGAATTACAGCATTCCCCATTTAACATTGCAACAAAAACACCAGAACAAGGGCTCAATTTCAGGAAGTCCCCACAGCCTCAAGGACCTTCACATCCAGCAACATCCCCACTTGATGCCTCTATGAAAGAAGAGTATCCTATTTACTTAGCCAACTATTATTTCAAATGCCATGCCACCTTCAAAGATGACAACACATAGGCACAGGTCTGTGCTTGCTTCAGAACCACACCAGTGATTTTATCAAGGCTCTCCCCATCTCTTCCATGATATTAAACTGAGAAATCCTTCAATGGCATTTGCACCTTCCCCAACCATCATGCTGCTGGCCTGTTAGAGTTGAATCAAGAGTAGAACAGAACTCTTACTACCGCACAGTCAGATACCATTATTACCTTCTATGGTACACAGAATGTTTTGGTTTCATTTATGCAGTGTTTAGTCACACAAACACTCAAAGCTGCAGAGTTTTGACAGAAGTGTGTAAGGAACATGCCAAATGTACAAGGTTAGACTGTCTCAACCACAACAAAAACAAACATTTCCAACTTGTTGTTTCCCCTACTTTGTTGGAGTTGGGGTGGGGGGTGGGGAAGAAGTGCAGGGGGAAGTTAGATGCAAATAACTCTACAGGGTTTTATTTGACTGTCAGTCAAGTGGTTTCCTTGTCACAGACTTGACCCAGATATCTCCAACTAGCTGGAGGTTTGCTTTGCTCATTTGATGTTAGATAATGAGGCCCATAACTGCCAGGACTTTCTTCTGACCCCCCTCTAATCTGGTGAGGGTTCAGTATGACAAGACTTGTTCTAATTCATCTCTGCACCGAAGGAGACAAGCTACACAGACCAAGTCATGTATCTACCCCAAACACCATCTGGTGTACTGGAGATCAATCTATTAGGCTCCACATGGGTATTATTTGATTCTTCTGTAAAAGACTCAGGAACACTATCCCAAACAGCAGATTTCAACTTGGCAGTTTCTACCTTCACACAAAGAGCTGAAATACCCCACTAACAGCTTCAAACTGACAAACACCTCAACATTACAGTATCCTGTCAAATTTCATGAAGATTCCCAACACCTGCTTCCAATGCAGGAGAAACAATCCAATTTGACCAAAATAACATAAATCATCATCAAACCAACCAGCCACTTCACTCGGGAACATCCCCTACTCTACTCGAGAGAGACAGCGTCACATTGCTGGGTTAGTTTCTCAGCCACAGGTTAGTTTGTCTCCCTCCCACTGACTCCCCATAAACAGTCCTCCACCATTGCACAAGGAAACAGGAACAAAGTCCCGGCTGATTGCTTCAGTGTCAGGCTCATTTGCTCGCTGTGGGATCCGGGAGGGGGCTGCTTACCCGGGCTCTCTCTCAGGTTGTAGAAACAGGGCTGCCCACTGAGGCTCGGTGACTCAAAGCAGCAGCCCTGCTTGATACAGTCAGTGCTGCTGATAGCGGGCGGGCCACACGGCAGCCTCCAGGCCGGCTCCGGGTCACACACAGCAGAGGCCAGGAGGGGCAGAGCAGCCCAAAGGCACAACCAGCAAACCAACCAATATCCCATCGCGCTCCCTGAAGCTGTGCAGGGCCCTGAGCACCAGCCCGCTTTATAGCCAGCAATTGGTGAGGAACCAATCGCAGTGTAGCCGCTTCCTGCCCCACGGGGTTTTACTGCAGTTCCCAGTAAATCGATCCTTTCTGTCAAGTTTATTGCAATCCCTAAACAGCCTCTGAACACGCGGCTTAAAGAACAATTAATTCCTTCCGTGTTTCATTCATTCGGGCAAACCCTAACTGCTCTTTAAACTTTACATTTCAGATCATGGAAAATTTAATCCAGGTTTGTAACACCAGGTCTATCGGTTCGGACTTTACCTGTGGGCAGCTAAAGGTAAATAAAGGTGAGGGAACAAAGTACATTTGGAGGATCCCTCTTCAGAATTTGTCCTTT